AGGGAATGGTCCATTTGCTCTTCGTCCATAGGGAGAAAGACAGGCAGACAAAGTTACAGTGTAGTATGTTAGAAAAGACCTGAATCCTTGCAAGTAGGGAATCTGAGCAACCCCAAGCCATGGTGGAGATGAGGGATATGGTAGACTTTTTTTAGCCTTTTTGGTCACCTGTGCATGGACCTCATTCCTAAGTTTGGGATGCCCCTCCTGAGAAAGAGCCCATCTCCCATCAGAGGAAGCTTGTCCAGCCTCCTTGTCATTCAGAGCACAGGGCCTCACCTCAGTCTGCACAATCAGATGCATTCACTGAACTCCGAATCCAAAGCTAGTGATACAGAAACCATGCAGGCTCCTTTTCGCCAATGGAAGGCATTGGTGGTAGCAGCTATATCTGGTTCCCCAGTACAGCGGTAACACATCCAATTTCTAGAACCCAGAATCATCTGTTCCCACCCTGTCATTTTACAAATGTATTGCGGAAATAATCGAAAACCACCCAAATGAAAACAGGCAAAGCTATTGATTCAGAGATTGGTCTAACGAGGGAGTCACCCATCATCACCTGTATTTTGGCAGAGATGCCAAGGCAGGCAGAGGAGTAGGAAAGCTTTAGAGTTGAATAAAGAAAAGCTTCAGGTATCCCCTGATTGAAGGCTGTTTTCATAGGGAAGCTGTAGGCATGCTGACCAGAAGCGGGCAACCTATGTGATTGAGGTTTATATTTTTTACTTTCTCTGGCTGATCCTAAGTTGGAAGCAGGGATGAAAATTAGGGAAGCTCTCAATTATTAATCAAGTCCTGTCCATTTGGGGCCAATTGTTACTGGCATTATTGCTTCCAGGACTCATTGCTAGTGATAATAATCTTACTTCCTGCGAGTCTGACATAGTGAGATAAAATATGAATGCCAGCCATAGATAGGCTGCCTTCCTAGCCTGGTTACTGTAGATAACGGATTGGTTTCCTAGGCTGATTGTTGCAGATTGGGGGTCAGAGTTCTATTTTTTAGGTATGACTTGGCCACTGTCTGTCTGTATATTCAGTCTCTCAGCAGAATATATACTCCCTCCAGAGAGGGGGAGTGGCCTATTTAAGGTCTAACTGCTAATACTAACCAGAGCTGATAGGTCAACCTGAGATTTAGCATATTTATCTTGTCATCTTCAAAGGAACTTATGTTCTGCTTGTTGAAGAAACCAGATTTGGACCTATAGAAAAACAAAATTCAACACAGTTGTCACAGAGATAAGTTACACCAGAAAGTTAATTGTTAGTGTTATAGCTTGGCAGGAAGCCTCATCATTTTCCTCTGATAATGGCCAGAACTGCTATTGGTCAGGTTGTCTCCTTCTCCTTCTCCTTCTCCTTCTTTCTTCTTCTCTTTTTGAGGCAGAGTCTTGCTCTTGCTGCCCAGGCTGGAGTGCAATGGTACAGTCTCGGCTCACCACAACCTCTGCCTCCCAGGTTCAAGTGATTCTCCTGCCTCAGCCTCCCAAGTAGCTGGGATTACAGGCATGCACCACTATGCCCAGCTAATTCTGTATTTTTAGTAGAGATGGGATTTCTCCATGTTGGTCAGGCTGGTCTCGAACTCCTGGCCTCAGGTGACCCACCTGCCTCGCCCTCCCAAAGTGCTGGGATTACAGGCATGAGCCACTGCACCTGGCTTGGTCAGGTGCTTTCTATGTACTGGGCATTCTATCCATCCAGCAAAGTGAGGTGGTTTAAAGCATGGCTCTCCAGTCTTCCCACCTGCATTCATAGTTTATCTCCACCATTGGTAGCTAGTGAACTTGAAGATGATATTTTACCTCTCGTCTTCAATTTCCTCATCTGCAAAATGGAAATAATAATGGAACTATCTCATCACGCTCTTGTGCAAATTAGATGGGCAGATATTTGCAACGCATTTAGAATACTTACATAATAAATACTGGTACAAATTAGCTATTGCAATCTCATTTAGTCCTCATATTTATTTAGTCTGGTAAGTAATATCCCCAGCTTTCAGGTAAAAAACTGAAGGTGGTGATGTCACTTCTCCAAGATACTGAGAGTCAGAGTCAGAAATTTTACTCCTGTCTCTAGGAAACCAAAGCTCATTATTCCTTTCTGCTGTGCTTCTGAACACAGATGACATTGTTCAGAAAAAGGACAAAAAAGTGGAAAAGTATGTAGGGCTGTGGTATCAGACCACCCACATTCATATCTTGGTTCTGACTTCTATTCACTATAAAGCCTTGCACAAAGTACTTACCGTTTCTGAGCACATTGTCATTTGCAAACTGGTAATAAGATTAGTTGTTTTAATAAGACTAGGATTGTTTTAAGGATTAAATAATGTACTATATGTGAAGTTTCCACTTCAGGGCCTGGTACATGCTAAGTGCTTAATAATTGACAATGATCATTTTCAATTATTGTAATTAGAAGTGACTGTCATAAACCATTCTTTAGTGTCTGTCCTCAATGGTCCTGTCTTCATGCAGTTTTTGCCTTAACCTCCAGTCTAGTCTGATGTCTCCATTGCTGAATTCCTCATTTTTCAACATTGTTGAATTTCCTCATGTAGTACTATGGTAAGTCAGGAGAGAAGAGACAAATGACTTGGAGGAGAGGGTCTGCAGAGAAGAGGAATAGACAGGCAAAGAGGTAACAAGTCAATGGCAACACAGGGACATGGAGTCCCAAAGGACCAAGGCTTCCTATCGTCTAGACTTTCAGAAGAGTCAAAAATGCTTCCTAAGGCTGGCCATGGTGGCTTAGTAATCTCAGCATTTTGGGAGACCAAGGAGGGTGTATCGCTTGAGATCACAGTTCGAGACCAGCCTGGGCAACAGGCTATCTCTATAAAAAGTACAAAAAATGGCTGGGTGTGACGGTATGCACTTCTAATCCCAGGTACTAGGGAGGTTGAGGTGAGAGGATTGCTTGAGTCCAGGAGTTCAAGACCAGCATGGGCAGTAGAGCAAGTCCTGTCTAAACAAAAACAAAAACAAAAACAAAAACAAACAAACAAACAAAAAAACTGCTTCCTAAGAAGCAAATAGAGGAGCTGTGTCTTCGGCCCTGCGGTCAAACTCAGGGCCGTCTGGGAGACACTCACTACATCCTTAGCAGATGAAACCAGCTTCCTCCTTGCCATGTAGCATTTCTTGGAGGTGATTATTTTAATTTTAGCACTGAGTTCCATGCAGTTGACCTCTTAACTCTACTTCTTGAGAGTTGAAGTCAAGTTTTTTATCAGATTGGTCAGAGAGAATCAGGAAACATGCAACTGAAAAATCTGATAGAAAAAGGGTGATAAGAGGTAAAAACCTGATAGAAAATGGGCAACAATAATGGGGGGTATGAACTTACAAAAGCAAGGGAAAAAATCAGAGGAACGTAAAAGACCATTGTTTCCATCAGCCTGTAAAGCAGGTATTACCTTTCTGTTTCCCAAAGGAAGAAACTAAGCCCAAATAAAATTCAGTTTTGCCCTGTCAAATCACTCAGGTAATGAGAGCTAAGTCGTGATTTGAACCCATCAAAAAAGATCTGGAAAAAATAAGCATAAATGTTTAAAAGTGGTTGTCTGCAGGTGGTGGGATTATGGGTGATTTTAATTTTCTTCTTTATATTTATCTGTTTTTTTTTTCTAATTTTTTTTTCTATTTGGCAATTGTTACTTGTATAATGAGAGTTATTAAAAGCGAAAGTCATTGAAACTACATCAAGTCCTGGGCTAAAAACAGGGAGCAGAAATTAAAGCGGTAAGGAGGGTTCTCTTCACGAGCTAGGGAATCAGCCTGAAACTTGTTTCTGAGACTGAGAAAACTAAGCAACTAAACTGGGGGTACACTTCAGAGTGAGGTGGAGGAAGAAGGAAGGAACTAGGTCAGGCCAGAACTCTGGCTCCTCAGGGTCCAGGGACAGTCAGCCTGAAGGGAGCCTGGAAGGAAAACACTGGCTTAATAATTGGACACAAAGATAAAGACTTGATCTGGTAACAACCTAAACTCTGAGGCTGGACAGAATCCAAAATGGAAGGTGCTCAAAAGAGGGCTCATACACCTCCCGGGCAACGCTAGACCTATACTTTGCACCTGTGTGTTTTTAGCCTTTATAATAGAACCTCATGAACATTGTAATTTGTGTTGCAAGAGTATGGGGTGAGAAAGAAAACAGGGTACAGAAAGGACAGTCCTTCCAAGCCAATGAGGTGAGCACAGAGATGGCTGAAGCCCCTCACTCTGTCACAGTCCCTTTGAGTGGAGGGTAGTTGTGGGGTCAGAGCTGTGTGAATTAGGAGGTAGAGCTGGGGATGAATTCTGCAGGAGAAAAAATGTCCAGGTTCCTACATCTTCCTCAAAGGAGAAGGAAGGCCTGGGGCAAAATGAGATTCAAGCTTATTCTCAACATGGTCTCTGCTCCTGAAACATTTGCAAACTCCAAGCAAATGTTATGCAAAGAAAACTTTATTTGTAGAAATACATGCTGGCCATGCAGGATTCCTGGCTGGAAGATACACAATTATAAGGTTGGAGAATCTACTGGGAATGGTCAGTAATCGTAAGGTAGATATGCAAGTCCACATCAAAACTTCTTCTTCCACATTTCATCACTGGCAGTGAGTAAATTTGTCCTTAATCGAATGCAAATGAATAACCCCCCAGCCAATCCTCTAGAACATACAAGGTTTTTTTTACTGTATAAAAATACATCACCTGCTCTAGTCAGGCTATAAATATAATCCGTGAATTTTTTAAGGTCTTATGTCCAGTACAAAAATAAATACATTAAATAGAAAAATAAATAAATATATTAACTATATATAAATATATATATCCAATATATATCCAAATATAATCCAATAGTAGAAAGATATTACAAAAATCTTATACAAATATGTTCTCAATTAAGGTTGGGAATGTATAAAGACAATCACAGAAGGAAACAAATAATAAATAAATAAAACACACTGTGACCAGCACTAATAATATGGTAAACAGATGGTGGTTTGGGGTCATGCCTCTGCAGGTAGTGAGGACTAGAGCTCTTGGCCTCGAGTACTCTTAGCAGCAGCATCACTTTCCTCCTATTCTGTCTCCTCCATCCATTGCAGAAGAATGTCTAGTTCTCCCAAAGCCTTCACAACTGCTGCCTGAGGCTCAAGCTGAAAGAGACACATACCCATCTGGTTAGCAACTCATGAGACAACATTTGCTCCAGGGTTAATCCTCTCTCTTATGGATAGGTCTACTGACACTTGTGAGCAGAGCATTCTTTTCAAAATGAAGCACTTAAGAAGTTATAGAAACACAAGATCTCACACAAGGAGGGGAAATCATTGAGTTCATCACCCTGGTCTAATGTACAGACACTGAGGTGCAAGGGGGTAGCAGAAGTAAAACTGTAACCTAAGACTCTTGAATCACAGAGATCAAAGCAATCAAGCTGTTTTCTTTAAGAAACGTGTGTGTGTGTGTGTGTGTGTGTGTGTGTGTGTGTGTGTGTAGGGGTTGCCCACCATGCACACATCAATTGAACTGATTGTGCCAATCACCTGGCTGATGGCTAGGGATACAGAGGTGAATGGCACAATCCCTATCCACAGTTGCATGAGGATATTGGCAAAAGCAGGCAACTAAAATGTAGTGTGGTGAATAAAGGGATGAAGTTCCCACAGGATGATATGGGAGGCATCTAACTTTGAGAGAAGCAGCCAGCACCGTCCTGAAAGTGATGCCCAGGCTGAATCTTTAAAGGATGAGTAAGATTTAGTCAGTGAGGAGTGAACTCCAGGCTTTCCTGGCAGACACAAGAAGGTGTGAAGGTGAGAAACTGAATGGCATGGGTGTGTGTGAAATTGTGTGTTTTCAAAGGTATGTACAATGTGTGAACATTGAAAAACTATTGCCTCTGGTTTGTGCAGCTAAAAGATCTAGATGTCTCTAGCGACTTGATGGAGTTGTGGCCATTTTTTCCATTTCCAGAGCATCACCCAGAGAGAGCACTCTTCTAGAGCCTGGATGGGTGTCTCCTGGGTTAAAGGAAGGGCTTTAACCTCATGATTTTAGAGGGCTATGAACCTGAAGGCTACAGGATTTCTAACAGCCTGAATATGTATCCCACCCACCTATGATCTCAGTTCTTAAAACACACCCATCCCAATGGATGCCAAAATTACATATACCTCTTCAAAGTGACTCAGAATCTGGCTGTATTTCTTCGTTGCTCCCTCCCCACAATGGCATGTCATGTGGGCATGCTGAAAAGGACCCAAAGAACAATAGATTTTATTACAGATTCTGATTGTTTTGCCCTTACCATTGACATGAAGCAGTTGGAAATTCTACTCTTTCACCCACAACCCTGAGAATCCTTAGTCCCCTACAAAAGTTATTTCAGACCTCCCATTTGGAATCATTAAGTTCGTCATCTGCTAGGAGAGAAAGCCACCTTTTAAGCTGAAACATGGAACTCATTCCTTCTTTTTGAGAAGTAGGTCGGCAGTGCTGGAGGCATTTGCCATCCCTGTACTCCAGCTGGCCTCTCCGCAGCCCCCAGCTTCAGTCTAGGAGCTCTATCCCAGAGCTCTTTGAGCCCCCATGAGGGGGGAAAGAAAGAATTGAATTCCTAGGTCCTATTCAGACCATATTCTGAGGTCAAGTTCAATGGTCTATTAACTGACTACCTAGACAGAGGATGCATTAATGTAGGATACCTCACCTACAGAAAAAGTATAATTTCAAAGATAACAGAGTTAACATTAATATCAAATAGTTAGCACCTTATAGTTCTTAAGACTTTGCAAAGTACTTTTTGCCTAGAGCATATACCCAAAAGTTAATAAAACTGAGTTCTTATTACCTAGTAACATGTCTCAACACAGATTATTAGAACTTTTGGACTCAGTTTCTCCAACCATTAAATGGGGGTAGGAACGAGAGTTTGCTTGCTAAGCCACTGAAACTATGTGCTAAGATGCATCCTATTACCCAAGACCCACACTCACACAGAGCTGGAGGTCCTTCTTGATGGTAAGAAAGGAATTGGCGAGGCTGCTGATCTTCCGGAGAGTATGATGGTCAGGAGTCTGGTAGTCCTTAAATACTCTGTCCAGGTAGAGTCTTAGCAAATGGCGCAGGAGGCAGCACCGATCTGCAGGCTGCAAAAAAGAAGAAAAAAAAAAAAAGGCATGTCGGTGAGGGGAGAGGGGAGAGCAGAGACAAGACCAGGGTGATGGAGATGCTCCCACTCTACACCTACTCCCCGAGTTTGTCTGGGCCAAGCACATACCTTTGTGTCTTGTAAGGACTCAGTCCTCCTTAAGATTCTGACATCAATGTTTCCATCTTTGGCTTGCTAAACAGAGGAAGACAAAACAAGCAAGGATGGGTCAGTGACTGCTGCCAGGGTCTTCAATATCAAGACCTCTCATCCCCGCCCTGCTAAGGACCAAATGTTTTGGGAGGTGTCCTTTCCCAAAACATTTTATATATATGAACTACAGATATTTCTTGGGAATACATCCCCAGAGTAAGGAGTCCCCAGCCTGTCTCTTTTCATGATCACACTGCCAGGACTGCCAGGAAAGAGAAACAGACGAGGAGGGGAGAGAAGAGGCATCCAGAAGAGGTAGATACCCGCCTACGTACCACACTGCCCCGTATCTCAGAAAATCCATTTCGTATTTCCTGAAGGTTTGTGGCGATCACACACTTTCCCAAATGGAGTGTCTTCAGTCCAGTGGAAGGAGTCCAGAGGAGATAAAATGCAGCAGAAAGAAGGCTGAAGGCAAGACCAGAGGCTTTCATCTTATGGCTGAAATCTGGAGACCACAGGAGCTAGGAATTCAAAGAAAAGAGCATGACTTACTGATTTCCCCTCTCTTCCAGGTGTCCACGGGGGGAAAACCAAACAGCCTTCATTGGCCTCAGACAGTGTGGCTCATCACATAACTTACTAAGAAAAACTGCCGAGCCTCCCGTGAAGAGAAGCTTTCAGGTCTGAGTTCAGGGTTTGAGTGCAAGTGGGTGCCACAGGTTGTGGCTTCTTTATTCTGTCCCCATCCTGGCTCTGCTGTCAGTGCCCCTCAGGTAAGGCCTGGAACAGCAGGCAATTGCAGTGACTAGACAGAGGATGACATTTCAGGGGAAATGTCAAAACTTGTTTTGGGGAATTGACGCATATAGCCTTCCCTTCCAGAATGCCAATGTAGCTCATCCTTCTGTTTCCTCAGACCCACAGGGGAACTGGGGAGAAACGGAATCTCACAAAAACTGTGGGTGCGCCATCAAAAACACCTGGAGGGAAATTGTCTGGATTTTATGGCCACCCACAGGGCAAAGGAACTGAGCTTTGTTTGGCATTTGTCTGAGATCAGATAGTTTATTTGAGGATAACAGATTCACTTAAGCCCTAGAGGCAAATAGAAAGTCAATGATTTCATAACAAGCCTACTGCCAGGGAAAGGCAAGATGTGATGGGCAATCAGCCCGATTCCACCTAACACTGAAGCGTCTGGGACTCCATGGCGCCCTCTGCAGGACGACTGTAGTCAGGCATTCGTGGGCAGATTGGAGAGTACATTTTCCTGGCCCTGCAACTCAGGCCCTAGGCCAAGCAAATGGTCCCAAAAGTCAGAGAAGAAAGGCAATGATGGAACTCATTTCTTCTTGAGTGAGGCTCCTCAGTGAGAGAACAGTTTAGGGTGTTTGCTCAGTTTTAAGATAAAATGATAGTAGGCTAGGGTTAGGGTAAAACAATTGAGGCACTCATTTGGAGCGCAAAATTTAAGGGAGCACTAAGAAACCTCAGTCGTCAAGACAAAAACTATTTTAATGTAATATCAAAATGAATTTAAAAGTTTGCGACAAACAAAATATCACAATTTTAAATAAAGACAAAATTCGATAGTGCCATGCTGAGCCATATTGAAGCAAAAGGGAGAATACGTACTGCTACTCATATGTTTTCATGTTTCATTCTTAATGGTTAAGCTTGTTTCTCAAAAGTATATGATGAAAATATTATTGATGAGTTTCTTTCCCTTAAAATCAGGACAGCAAAATTATAATAAATTTTTATAAAATGTATAAAGACATATATATATATATATATATACACACACACATATCTATATATACATATATAGATATAGATATACATACATATATATATGGCTGGCTCCATAGCTTGGCACAGCACTGATAATCATTATCACTTGCTGAATTTTTCCTATGTGCCAGGCAATATGCTAGACATTTTTTATATTTGTGACCGCTCGAGAGACTAGCAAATGTAGGAAAAGGAAAAAAGCAAACCAAATCCAAAAGAATCAGAGAGCACACTGGGTTTGGAGACAAGAGAACTGGGTCCAAATAAATCTTTGCTTTACTGGTTCCCATTTATGTGGGTCATTCCAGTTTACCCAGGACCAAGGTGGGAGGTGACAGGTGGTTCCCAAGATACAGGAATTTCAGTTTTAAAGCTGGAAGAGCTACAGGTAAACCGGAATGAGTTGGCCACCCCACTTCTATGTGATCTTGGACAAGTCAACTCACCTCTGAGTTTCATTTTCTTAACCCAAAAAATGGTGATAATTAAGCTTAACCCAGAAATTGTTTTGACATTTAAATAAAATAGTCTGTAATGTATACACTTAGCACAGAGTAAGTGATCAGTTCATTTTAAGTAGAGATTGATGTTAGTTGTCTTGAACTAACAATTTGATAAGCATTTAATGAGCACCCACTGTCTTGAATGCTGTGCTGGATACTGAAGTACAAAGATAAGCATGATGATTATTTGTCCTCAAAGAGATCTTGTCTTCATGGAAGAGGGTCCTTTAGATGTGACCTTGAAGGTATCCAGGTAAATGATTGGGAGAAGTTGGCCGATCCCCAGAACAATGTGAGCAGTGTCAGTAGAGGGTAAGGTCTCTTACCTGAGCTCAGGAAGGGCTGCTGCTTCTGGTCTCCTAGGAGTCTGTCTCAAGTTGAAAGGCTTCCCATTATTTATATCTATATATACATGTCACATGAAGGAAGTGAGCTCAGGCAGGTGAGGGCTGGAACTTCCTTGGAATTTCTCTGGTGGCATTGCACTTCCTCAAGGGCTATAGCAGCTTAATTGCAGGCCGGATTACCCCAACACCTTCCTCCTGGAAGAAGCACTGCCTGAGGGGATTACTGGTTACAGCTGTGGATAAAGGGTGTGCCTCCTTCCAGCTCCACCTTCCTGCTTGGTAAAATGATAGAATAGAGAAGATCTGAATTACTGAACTGGAAGAGAATTCCAGGGGATGCTCTTGCGCTCTCCTCTAAACCCAGTTGCCCTTAACCAAGTCTCTCCACAACCCCAAACTCTGGGTTCATTCCTGCTGTTTCTCCTCAGCCCTTGCTATCCCTGCCATTGCTCTCTAACATAGCCATCTTTCCTTGCCTCCAGTTAACATTAAAGAGGAGACCCAAATCCTTTATTCCTGAACTACTCTGGGCTACACCAATCCCTCCCTTCTTTGACTTCCAATAGCAGAGTTTTCTTTGGCATTGAAAGCATCTACTGTTGCCCTGTTTCATGAAGCTCGGTCTTTTCTCCCTAATGACACTGGAAAATTTTTTTAGGCTGGCTGTAGTCCATCGTGTAGGACCATGCTTCCAGACAAAATTAAATTCAAAGAACCTGGGATGAATTACAGACAACGCTTTGGAAATTATAAAGGTGGTAGAGACTATCACATGTCCTTTTTCAACTCTTTAAAAATGTAATATCTAAAATTCTGAAGTCTTATATTTGAGTCCAAAGATGCCACAGTGTACAGAATGACTTTGGAATATGACTGTGTCTTTCTGGATCTCAGTTTACAAATCTGTAAAAATGAGAGAAACAGATTAAAGAATGTGTAAGGTCTTTTTCTGTTCTGATATTCAGTGACTCTTTCTGCTTCTACCTTTTGGATCAGAATGTTCTTTTCAACGTCTTTTGATATCTTCTTAAAGTTTCCTGAAAATGAGGACCATGACTTATTATTATAATGCTTGATAAATGTTGAGCATATGTACAAACATCTCATCTTGATAGCTCTTAAAATATTTGAGCTCATGCCTATTTTTCCATCATTGGTGCCAAGTCAACCATTTCTCATGATCATCCATAAGTGTGCTTAAAGTAAAATTGGAATATGTGGTCTGATGAGAATAGTTGAAATCAAGATTTTCAGGAAATCTAGGTTTGTATAAACCAGTCACATAATTCAATTCCTTTTCATTAACCAAGAAGAACACAGTTGCATTGTTTTAAGTTACCCGTAATGATTAATTAAATTTAGTATTCACACAGAATCCCAATTCTATTTTAATAATCAAGTCTCCCCTTTTCCTATCTCAAAATACTTTATTGTTTTTTTTTTTTTTTTAGTTGTTTTTAATTCAGGGTCCCTCTCTGTCACCCAGGCTGGAGTGCAGTGGTGCAATCACAGCTCACTGAAATTTCTGCAATTTCTGCAATTTCCACCTCCTGGGTTCAAGGGGTCCTCCCATCTCAGCCACCCAAGTAGTTGGGACTACAATGTGTGCCGCCATGCTTGGCTAATTTTTTTTGTATATTTTGCAGAGATGGAGGTTTCACCCTGTTGCCCAGGCTGGCCCCGAACTCTTGGGCTCAAACAATCCACCCTCCTCAGCCTCCCAAATTGTTGGGATTACAGCTGTGATCCCACGCCCAGTTCAGACGACTTTATTCTTTTAAAATTCACTGACCACATTTCATATCACATTCTGTACAGATACCAACTTACTTCATCTCCTCTTCAAAACTTCTCCTGCCTCACCCTAATCTCTCTTTCCACCTCTGTTTCCCAACATGAAATTGATTCCTCCCACCTTTTCACCTTAACTTTACCTTCTATATAACTTTTTGTATTTATCACAGTCAATTACAATTTTTCAGTTGCATGTCTCTACATGATGAATCTGTGAGCTCCTTGTTCATCTTCTTGCTTGGTCTCAACACCCAATGGCTCTGGTAGGTGCTCAGTGGACACTGGATGACTATGGAATGAATATATTGATTTCTCACTGTTGGCAGGAGTTATATGTATATATATGTATATGTGCATATTTATATAAACCTATAAACACACAAGATCATTTTTATCATTCTTGTGTCTGATAGATCTTAAAAGCCATTCTTTCAATAAATATTTATTAAATGCCTACTCTGTGCAAGACACCATGCTGAATGCTATGAGATTACAGAGATGTTTTTTCTTTCTACTATATTCTAAAGCTTGAGCTCTATGATTTAACTTATGAGGGAACCCTGGGGCTCCTCTGACACACATCTTCTCCAGTAAGTACTGGGGAGGTCCACAGATTTTCTCAAAAAAGTAATTCTACCTCAATGGCAATAATTTCCTTCTCTAATTGTAGACTATTCCTCCTGGACTGTTAGAACAAGAAATAATTTTAAGTACAACAAGTCTAATTCCTTCATTGTATAAATGGGGAAACCATAGTTCAAAAAGGTTAAGTAATTTGCCCAAGGTCATTCAGCTGGTAAAAGGCAGACCCTAAAGTTGTATTCAGTAAATGTTCGTTCCACTACATGACATTCTTAATTCATGAGAAACTCCTATACTAAATAGCTTTTCTTAAAAATAAAACTGAGAAGAAAGCTTTTCCCACCTCATAATTCTGTTAGAAGAAATGAGTCTTCAGTGGAAAGGAAGTAGAGGGTATTAGCACTGAAGATCACATGGGACTAACAGCCAGGAGACCCATCCTAATACTTACTTCCTCACCAATTTTCAGAGTGGCTCAAGGCTAGTTCCTA